TAATGTGGGTTCTAGGGAACCTAAGGTTGTTTGTAAGGCCCCCGAGATTGCAGACACATTTGTATGCATTTCAGGGGACAGTGGATCTATGGTTTAAATCAGTTTTAATAGAGGGTCTATGACCAAGAAAATATTATAACCACTGACTTAGCCTAAAAGCTCTGATTTCCTATTCTGTATCCTGTTCACTGCTCTTCCCAGCATGACTGATTAGAAAACCTCTTCTTCCGATGCCTCAGTGCTTGTTGCCACCACAGTTGTTTCTGCTGATTGCTCCACAGCAAGCTGGAACTTAATCTGGACCCAGAGTAACTGTGACCACTGCTAGGAAATATTTTGTCTTCCTCAGACCCCACATTCAGCTACCATTTCCCAGACTGACCCAAGAAGTACTTTTCCAGGGTTTTTTGGTAGCTTATGCTATGGTCTGAATGTTTGTGTACCCCCAAAATTCATGTGTTGAAGTTTTAATCCCCAAGGTGATGGTATTAGGAAGTGGGGTCTTTGGGAGATGAATGAATGGCATTAGTGCCCTTCTCAAAAGGTCCTCAAGAGACACTTTCTCCCTTCCACCATGTGACGACAAAGTGAAAAGACAGCCGTCTACGAACTAGGAAGTAGACCCTCACCAGACACTGAATCTGCTGGCACCTTGATCTTGGACTTCCCAGCCTGCAGAACTGTGAGCAATAAATTTACCTGGGTAGTTTATATGCCACCCAGGTTATAGTATATTGTCACAGGAGCCTGAACAAACTAAGACTCTCAGCCTGGTTAATTATCACCTAAAGTCCTTTCACCCTTCCTGCACAATCATGCGTGTGGTCTATGATTGAAATTTCCCTTGTTCCCTGGCATCACTGAAGTTGGCCTCCTGTGTCCTGCCTGTTTCCATAGAACTCCTGATTTCCCACTGCTGGGTCCTGTCCTCCTTTTTGCAAACAACTGCTACTTCATCGTAGACTCCAACAATAATAATGATGACACCAATAATAATAATAGCAAACATGCAGTGATTACAATACGCTTGCCAATATACTTAATGTTTTCCATGCTTTGCCTCATTTCTCTTGACAATTGCCTTACATGGTATACATTTTTGGTAGAACCTCCATCTGATAGTAGGTACCCTTCATTGAGCAACCACTACATGGCAAACATTTTGCTAAGCTGTACATGTAATATATGCCATCCCCACAACATAGGGAGTGGGCATTTTTATCCCCATGTTATGAGAGAAGGGACTGAGAAACAAAGAAGCTAAATGACTTGACTAAGTTCACACAGATAGTAAACTATGATAAAATTTCGGGATCTGTGTGCTACCATTAAATACATTGGTCTTTGGCTGGGTGCGGTGGCTCACGCCTATAATCCTAGCACTTCAGGAGGCCAAGATGGGAGGATCATTTGGGTCAGGAGTTCGAGACCAACCTGAGCAAGAGCAGACCCTGTCTCTACAAAAAATAGAAAAATTAGCCGGGAATGGTAGCATGTACCTGTTGTCCCAGCTACTCAGGGGGCTGAGGCAGAAGGATGGCTTGAGTCCAGGAGTTTGAGGTTGCAGTGAGCTATGATGATGCCACTGCACTCTAGCCTGGGTAGCAGAGTGAAATCTTGTTTTAAAAAAAGTAGGTTGGTGTTTTCCTAAAACCCTTGCCTTCCTCTCCCATCAAAAACTATGGCCCTGGTGGACAAGCCTAGCCCAGGTCCTGACTCTGTCTCGTTGAATTGTTTCTGGACATGGTATTTATGTACTGAGTGCATCCTATAGCACTTGTATCTGCTCGTAGGTTATAAGTGTGTGTTCTTCAGTTCCTTTGCTTGTTCATTCATTCATTTATTAATTCATTAATTTGCTTGACATCTATCTATTGGGTGTTTATTCTATGCCCAGCATTCTGCAAAAACTAGGGAATTGAGACTGGGAAAGCACAACTGGAGACAGACGTGGTGGCAAATACAGTGATGTGACGACAGTAGTGATGGAGGTGAGGAGCTGGCATTGTGAGTCACAGCCAGCAGATGGGATCTAGAGCCTGAGTTGAGACATGTAGGGTGAGCCAGAGGAGGACAGCATTTCAATCAGAGCTGAAAGAATTTGGTAGGAGCATGTGGCATGTTCAGGGAGCCACAGTGGGTCCAGCAAGCGCTGGGGATGGGGCAATGGATGGCGCAGGGGATCAGGAAGATCACTAGCCTCCCTGAGTATCTTGCCAAAGAGTGTAGGTTTTACCCTGAGGCATAGGAAAGCTTCAAATTAAGCCTGTCATTTCTCTGCCACATAGAATTTGTATTAGTAGGTGGTAGAAACCACATCGTGTATTTTTTCAGAGGTTATCCCTTATGGTACTAGGTTGATATTACTTTTGTAAATGGAGTTCCAGTAATGCTTGTTGAGTGGGAATTTATGATCTAATATGCATTCGTTCAGCCAATGCCTAGAGAGCTAACACTATAACATACTCCATCATGTCAGCCATAAACACTGAAAGGTAGTCGGAGATGTGTCTGAAAGGCTTACCAATTCTTATTAATGTGGGGAGTTGTCAGGGATTAGCTCACTGGCAACTAGCTCTGCTCGGGAAGTTCACCTCCTGTGATAAATTTGGTCTTTACCCCATAAATTCAATCTGATGACTGGCTCCTTTACATCATTCCTAATTCTAGGTTTGGAGCTCCTTCAGAAAGTGAGAATTACTAAAAAGAGTTACTAAAGAAATGTCCAGGAGACATTTTAGGGCTATGTACCTTAATTCATGTTTCCTAGTAAAACTTGATACCTGTAAAATTTTGCTAAGTTATGGACTAATCTAAGGAAACACCTGCATTTTCTTTTTTACATGTTTTAGTCTGTCTCAGTGGCAGTTCTCCAACAGGCTGGGGCACTGCTCCTGGTTACTCCCATCCCATCTTCTCTGCAGGGACCTATGCCCTGCCAAAGGTAGCATATGGCATCATGACTCAGAAGACAAAAGAGAATGAGCACGATAGTGACAAAGGTTTCTGAAGCATTTCCCCCTTCCTCCTTTCACCCCTAATTGTGGAGCCTGAGAAGGGGGAGCTTGCTTTTTGGAGTGAATGAATATAAAATGCTTTCTTGCATTCAATGTGGTCCCTCATCTTGTAGCTCATTATTTCTTTAAACATGCTTAAGTGTGGCTTGGGAATTTCACCTTCTTATGCAACTTAAGTACAAGTAAAAAGGTGCTTTGGGTGCACTGAGTGTTTGATCCCAAGCTTTCATGTGGCTTCTGACTCTCCTTGCACTGGTACGAGATAAAAGGAAACCGGCTGTTTTCTTGTTAAAGATCAAGGTAATCAGGAAGGCAATTCAGGACGTAACCACGATCGCTGCAGGGAGAGGAGGCCCGTGTGATGTTTTTCTGTTACACCCGGTATGTCAGATTTATGTAGCTGTCAGAAAGGTATTTCATTTCATGCCTGTTTGTGATTTCTTTGTTGTTGTTGTTGTTGTTTTTGTTGCCAGTTTTAAATTCCTGGCTTCATCCTTAGTAAACTGATGAGGCTGTTATTAGTGGTGCATTCCAATGGTAAGAGAAGACTGAATATTTTAGATTCATACTATGTTCCCGCACTATTCTTCATAGTGTTAGCCTCACTCTTTATACTCACAGTAATGCTATAAGGTAGATGATGTTATTCCCATTTTACTGATAAAACAAACAAACAAACAAAAACAGACACTGGGAGTTTAAGTAACTTGCCCAGGTTATATTGCTCATAAGCCTTAGTGAAGCTGTGATTGAAACCCAAGCAATCACTGCCAGGACTAGGGTGAGGTAAGAGAGATGCCCAGAGCACAAAATTTAAGGAAGAACTGTCTCTCTATTTTGTGTAAGTGCAAAGTTCACGCCCCAGAGTGAGTGCTTCCTTAAATCCTACCCTAGTCCGAGTTGTGTATGCAACCTTGCTTTGGAATCTGGGTTCTTAATTCTTATACATCCTGCCAATCAGGTCCTCATCCTTGTGGACCAGAGTCAGGCTTCAGTGGGGAAATAGACTGAACAGCCTGAGAAAGGTACGCAGCTGCTGAAGAGACCAGCAGAGACAGAGCTTAAAGTAGATATTTTTCCTTAGGAGATCTCCCTTGCCCTTGGCTGGGAATTCTTTTCTTGTACTGTTTCCTCCCAGTTTTGCTTGTGGCTTTGTCTCACTCCCTCCTTCTCCAGTACAGAGAAGAAAAAAGACATTTTTAACTTGAGAGGTAAATCTCTGCATCCCATAGAGAAAATATTAGAGCAGCATCACAGAATATGGGGCGGACTCGGTCAGGGCTGGCTGCTTCCAAGAGCATTATTTCATATAGTCAAGTCCAGACATACCCTGAGCCACATGTTGGGCTCAATAATAATCTATAGCTACATACCTATAAGAAGTCTCAGGACTCAGAAAAGGGTCTTGTGAAGGGAAGTCAACCTTCCTCAGAGAAAGGAAAAGTTAGGAGATAGTCCAGGATCCCAGGATGTCAGTGAAGAACTCCCCTCCCCTTAATACCATGTATTCTTGAAAATCCTTAAAATAATCACTATATCATTAAGACAAAGAGGTCCTCCTGTTCAGTCCTGTACAGCCTGAGCCTTAGGAAGCCACTTGGATTATAGGCTAACAATGCTGGAACAATCTCTGGTACACTTCGGTGATGGACCAACCCTCCCCTTGACTCATGGACCGCGGAATAAGCACCCATAGCTCTCACGAACATGTGTGGAGAGCCAGCAGTAGCTGGTGCCATGACTGAAATGAAAGAGGGTGAGTGCTATGATCTGGTAGCTTCTTTAAACTTCTCAGCATCACATTAGAAAACTCCTAGTTGTTCTTCCAGGCAAACTTTTGACCCTGAAATCTGAGCAGTCTGGTTGATGACGGCTTCTCCTCCCTTGTAGGCATCATGCCAACAGCACCATGTGGGACAGGCCATGCCAAATGGACACAGTGCCAAGCTAAGGCATACTGGGCTGTGAGGGAGCATCACTTGCCTCTTTGATCAGGTTCATAAATCTGGGTCCAAGGCGCCATGGCTTGTGTCGATGGCACTGTAGGGAGCTGACGGTCAGTTGGGATGCCCGGTGGGAGGCGATGGCCACCATGTACACAGCGTCGTACATCAAAGCTGCTTCAGTCTGTGGAGGAAAGCACACACCACACCTTCAATCGCACCTTTGCTCACCTTCCTGTACCTGTGCAATCCCTCTCCCTGCTTCGGTAGCTCCTGTCTGACCTCAAAAGTCATTTATTCTTCAGCTGAATAGTTTCCACTCTCCAATACCTATTTTTCTTCGAAATAATACCTCACACTCCAGAGTAAATTGGAATCATAACTCTGCTTTGTTTTGAGTTCTTAAAAAAAAAAAACTCATGAAGAAAAGCAACTCAGATCAGCCACAAAAGACTTGATTCAAGGAACAAGTAATTTGTAGGGTGTCTTCTGCGTTAAACATGGTATTAGGATCCACTACATTGAGCTAGAAGCTATCAAAGCTCAATATTTAAGTATCAGATTTTGCTTGCCAACATTTACCTATAACTATTAATATATCTACTTACTGGTTTATATTTGGTAGAAAGAAACTTCTGCAAGTAAAACTAACAGGTGATTTCCAGATAAGGATATGTATGTTGGTCACTTCCATTTACAAGAGTTGAGAAGGTTGTAGTCTTGGAATCAGATTCTGCAGTGAGTTTGGGGAGACCCTCTGAAGAACAGACATGCGTAACTTGCTCAGAATATGCCTGCTCTTGCCAGCATGTGCTTTCCTGATGGAGACTGAAAGCAGTCATTCCTTTCTGGGGCTGGGCATCTCATTCTTCCCTTCCTCATGAAATTTTTCTCATTCACAAAATTTTACACAATACTTACAGCATCTTATAAAATATACTTCCCTGTGGATTTCTTAAGGATAAAATCTTGTAATACCCTCACATCTGACTTGAGGGTTTTCATTGCAATTTCAAATATATTAGCTCATTTGAAAGTCTCAACAAGTCCCCAAAATAAGCAGAACAGATAGATAAAGCTATTTATTATGTGAGAAAACTGACCTCCAGGCAAAATATTGATTTGTGGAGGGATGTGTGTGTGTGTGTGTGTGTATATATATATATAAAATAATTGGTGGAGTTAAACTCAGAATCCAGGTCATAGAATGAAGGTTATAATGTGGTTTACCAAAATTAATTGATTCATTCAACATTCACTATGCATTGATCGATCATGTCTTAATGGAAGTGGAAAGAGAGGATAGGGGTTACTACATCTTGCATTCTATCAGTCTTTGAGACCAGGAAATACCTCTACTTTGAATCCTTATTATTCTGTGCAATCTCTGTCATGGCATTTTCCATATATTTATTGTCATTTGTCTTTATATCTGTGTCTTGGTAAGAATATGGGTTTCTTGAAGGAAGAAAGTGCTTGAGTTCAGCCTTTGGTGGCTAGCACAGTTTCTGGCACATAAAAGTTGTTTAATAAATTGTTCTCTGAAGGAATTAATATTATTTCATGCCTTAAAATAAAAGGCATTTTTGTGAGAATTGTATAATTACAAGAATTTAAGATGTAATTTTAAGGTAAATAATTTCACTCATAACTGATATACTTGACATACAGAAGTCAGACTGGTGGTGGTGGTGATTGCTAGAGCTTAAAAATATTTTGATCCTTTCAGTTTCAGATTGTATAATCCATTTTATAGATGAGAAAACTGAGACTTATGGAAATTAAGTGACTCACACAAGGTTACTCTGTAATCAGTTGCATGGCCCAGGTTTGAACCCACATATGATTCTAGTGCCCATGTTCTTACCATTCTGCTGTACTAATTTGGTTTAATTGGGGGGAGAGTAAGCTATTGGCAGAGTGAGACTTTTACAATGAAATCAACAATAATAGCTGATGTTTATCAAGCACTTAACACATCATGTGCTGTTCTAAATCCTTTGCAAACATTGAATTTTCATCATAACCTTTACTCCTTTATGGATAAAGAAATAAAGAGATTAAATTGTCTTCAAATTAGTGATGAGAAAGCCAATATCCAAACCTGTGCAGTTGGTGCTGGAGTTTATGCTCTTAATCGTAAAGCTGTGCTACTTTGAAACCAAGTTACTGGTGTGATGATTTAATAGTCAGAATAATAGCTCCATAATGGTTAATATTCATTGACAATTTACTACAAGCTAGGCACTCTAAGCATTTTGCATATATTATCTCCTATAATTACTGAAATTAAACTTTTGAAACAGGTCTTGTCCCCATTTTACAGATACAGAAGTTGAGGCTTACAGAGGTAGCATAACTTGCCTAAAGTTATGCAGCCAATAATGTAAGAATTGAGAATTCCAACTCAGAATGTGAACTCAGATTTCAGAGCTCAATGTCCACAGCCACTGTGTTATGGTAACTTGGACCTTTTTATCAGTAGAATATACTTTTTTTTGCAAATTTGTATGTGTATTCATTAATTCACTGAATGACTGCTTTGATAGAAAGGTGTAAGGAGTGAAATTCCAATGGTCTGACTTTCCATAAACCTAGTTTGGAAAGGATTTGACTGTCTTTCTCAAAGCTGACTCTGTATAGAGACATGCAATAAAATGATTCAAAACTATCAGTCTGACCAGTGCTTTTAAAGTTCAAAGAAGCAAACTATTTTATTCTAAAAATATGCTACCCTTGCCATAAAATGTTTTCTTAGGTGGGGAGAACATTTACTCATAACTATTTTACAGCGCTAATAAATTACCACTGAATTTCTCCCCCTTTTCAATTTTATGCTGGAGAGCTGCTTACTAGAACAGCAATTCTCAAATGATTTTAGGTAATAGATAATGTAGTCGAAATTGGCCTATGTTTCCAATTTTCTTCTTCCAAATGTGTTTATGTTCACATCTTATATATATCTAAAGCGTGGATGAAATCACATTGCTCCATGTTCTTAGGAAAACAATTTTTTTTTTTTTTGCCACAACCTGGATCATGAAATAAACATATTGAAAGCAGGATTCTCCTTAATACACAATGTTTTGGTTCTTACCACAATTTGCAGCAAAGAGTTAACTCAGTGACCTTGGGGTGTTCAAGCCCTGCACATTCTAAAGAAAGGACTAGCCTTGACTGGATCCTGGGAGACAACCTTTAAGACCTTGGTGTATCCTGATAGGGGTGTCTTTGTATTCCTTGGATCTTGGGAAATGGCAGATAGTTGATGTTAAAAATGTGACTTGTGGTCAATGCCTACTTTGTGGGCCTTCGGCTTTGGCCCAGGCTCTATCGATTTGACTTCTGGAGAGGCTGGATACTGAGTAACTCAGGTCAGCTACGTGAGTGCTCTATGCCTATGTGATCGACCCCAATAAAAACCCTGGACATGAAGTCTCAGGTGGGCGGCCCTGGTTGGCAATGCTTCATGTTGTCACCTATCACTGCTGAGAATTAAGGGCTGTTCAGGCAACTCCACTGGGAGAGAACATCTGGAAGCCTGCACCTGATTTCTCCTAGACTCTTTGTCTTTTTCTTTTGCTAATTTTACTGTCTCCTTTTGCATAATAAACTATCACTGTGAGAACAATAGGTTTTCTGAGTTCTTTGAGTCCTTCTAGCAAATCATCACACCTGAAGATGATCTTGGGGATTCCAAACACAAACCAATGAGTGTCACCTCACCACAGGAACAAAGACTAACACCACTATATGACCTTGTAGGGTCCGCATACTTTGCTGCCTGCCTAGTATGGAACTGTTGTAAAAAGCTGGAGGAGATCAGGGTGCTGAAGAGAGACCTAGTTTTTGGAAAGCAAATGAACAAAAAGCATAGATTTCCCATTTTATCTCCAAATTTGGAAACATTTACTAACCTGATACAGACAAGTCAGTTTTCTAGGAGAGACGCACTCCCCCAAAATACCACTTTGCCCTAATTTCCTGTACTACCTCTCTAGTCAGTTGATAGATTCTTCAACTAAACTTCAAATGTCATATCCATGGCACAGAGCTAACAGGAATTTGCCACTTAATATGAACTTAATATGAGCTAGTTTTCCTCTTTTCTGAGACTTGTCTCATTGCAGTAGCGAGGATTTTGGTAAGGGTGGGGAGACTAGTGCTTTCCCTATGGAGCCCCGCCAGGGAACACAAGCTTGTGGGGGTGGTTGCTACTGAGAAAGCCGAAGTGGTGGAGGAGGCAGCCAGCGTCCTGCACACCTGAGCACCCAGGAGGTAGGGAAGAGCCATTTACAGTGAAATGGGATTTGGAAATGGGTTGGTGGAGGTAGCAAAGATATCAGCACAATCTAGAAATTCAGTAATTAGGGTAGCAACCCCAGAAGGTCCAGTGAGGACTGGTAGAGAGGTTGGCGAATTGTCTCAATGAACCTTTACCAGCTTTTGAGAGGTGCAGTGAGGAATAGGTAAAAAAGGACTATATGTAGAGATGAAAAATACACCAGTGTGATTCTACTGGTCATACAAGGTCGCACAGGTCCCAGATAAGGATCCCACTTGGGCTACTTGTGCAAACCAAAGAATGTATTTCTTGGAAACAAATGGATTTCTGCCCTGGTATTTCACAATGTCTTTTTCTCTCTTTTGTTGAATACAAATTGTCAAAACATCAGATATCATTATCACTGTAAAATATTATTATACAGATTTACAGATGAGCAAACAGGTTCGGAGAGGCTAAATAACTTGCTCAGGTCACTCAGTTAGTAAGGAGACATAGCCAGGACTTAAATCTAGGCTTTCCTCATCTGGAAAGATCTTGCCTTTTCTACTGAATCCGGCTGTCTATTGTCTTTATTACAGGTATAGCAGTGGCCACTGTAGGTGGATACTCGAAGATGTCTTCCCTGCGGAGCACGATTGTAGGAAAGATTCACATGTAAGAGATCAGGAGAAGGCTACTGACTTAACTTCATATGTGAATGCATTGGAAGAACTGGGAAGGCAGATGACAGATCAATGTTTTGTTGTTTCCATGACTCCTGAGCAGTATTGAATTATATACAGTTTTGGTCCACAGAAAAGAACCTATCTAAGAACGGATGATTCCGTTACCCCAGTCTATCCAAAAGCCAATAGACTGAATCATCCCAAACACTGAGAAAAATTTAAACATAGTAAAAGAGAACAAAGTAAATTTTGGAAAAATCGCTCATAAAATACTCTTTTTTTCTATTCTTAAGATATATTTTAATAATAATGAGTTTCACTGTTTTTGAACTCTATTGACTCAGTTTTCTTAATAACCCAATTTTAACCCTATGTTTAAAGTCAATACTTTCTTTTCTCTAATTAAACCTTCCCTTTATTGTTCTTATTGTTCTGAAGTCTTTTGTCAAGATTTTTTAAACTCAGGCATGACTGACTTCTCTATTTTCAGATTTGAATGTTTTGACATATATAGCAATATTCTTTAAAGATTTTTTAGTGAATTAAATTCTAAGAAATTCTTAGTAGTTAAAAATATTAAAGAGGAAAATAGATAGGTTATGTAGGAAGTCAAAGCACGTGAGTTTTCAGGGAAATTTACCTTGAAGAATAGTGGTATAATACGTATCATTTCAGAGGATGCAATTGTATTATAGTAATAGCATTATTTAAATATTAATAGTGGTAGTCTATGGTTAATTTTTTAAAAATATTGTTAACTTTAAAATAATCTCTAATTTTACTAATCACACATATTTCTTATTTATAGGAACTCTCTTTACACTTCTATAAGAATATTTTGGGGCTAATTGAATATTTTTCATTTAACATCTTGAGTTTTAGTACAAGCTTAATTCGTATTTATTTAGTGCATTCATTCCTTTATTAAATACACATTTATTGAGGGTGTACTTTGTGCCAGGCCTTTTCTAGTGCTAAGGATAAAGCATAACACAAAAAGACAAAGTCCCTGTCCTCATAGAGTTTATATTCGTGTAGCAGTAGATATTGAACAGACAAATCGAAATATAAATATCTGGTCAAAAGGGCTGTGAAGAAAAGGAAAGCAGGTGGGGGAGAGAGAATAGGGAGGGGCTGCTGTATTCCACGGTGCTTCATAGAGGGCCCCTCCAGTGAAGTGGCATCTGACCAGCCTGGATAGGGGATGGTTCTAGGCAGGGGAAGCAACAAGTGCTTGACATGCAAGAATTAGTGAAGTACAGGGTCTGCTGTATAGACCCAGGGGAATTGAAACCAAAGGACTTTTTATCTGTAAGGTAGAGGAGAAGGAGTTTGGATAGAGGTAACTTGAGAGCAAAGATGTGTTAGTGTTGGACTTGAGGACATGGGATGTGTTCTCTTGGCTCAGTGATTTGTCCATCAGACATCCCTTTATATGCCACTTCACCTCTTCATGACTCAGTTTCCACATCCCCAAATGAGCCACATCCAGGAGAAACAGAAAGGAGACAGTGAAATGCAAAGCAAACGACCCTTTGGATAAATAAAGGTCGATATTATGCTTCACACAATCAATTTCATAGCTATTATCTGCATGACTATTGGATCAAACCCTTAGTGAGTGCTGCGTTCTACCACCCTTTTTATTTTCTTTAACTAGTATTGACATGACCTGACACAGTTATTCTATTCACTTTTATAGCACCCTGGTGAGCCATCCTCTTCTTGTCTAGTAAATCCTCATTTTCCTTTTTATAGTTTATAATAATAATAACAATAACAGTAAGATCACAGCCTAAAAAACCCTCTCTTATTGGGATGACAGTGAAAACTTTAGGCAGAACAGGTTCTCTTCCATCCACTGGGACTCAGCCCTGTCAGGCATCCTGCCCATGGGACTGCCATCGGCCCAGGCCACCAGCAGCCCCCCAGGACAGCAGCATCACCTCATGCTCGGCCTGATTCTGTGTGAATTGCGAGTCTCTATCACTCTGGACAGTGTCTTCCTCATCTCAGTCAATGTGTACAAACTGCTTTGTAAGGTCAATATAATCGAACACACAGACACTTTTCTTTGGTAAATTAAGCCATACTTATGATGAATATTCAATATTTGGCATGCATCCATAATCCGTGTTAACATAGCTTCAAACTGTAACTCTTTTAGTGGTACAAACCAAATTCAGGTAACAATTATTTGAGATCTCATCCTGTGATAGAAATCTCATTGGAAGGCAGGGAGGTGGCCAGAGGATTTTGAACCATGTTTGAACTCATTGGAATTAGAAACCTAAGAGGAAGAAGGGAAAAACTGACATATTAGCATCTCTCTTTCTCTCTTTCAGAAGTCTAGTATTTCCCTGGATACTCTCTACTTGTTCTTTTTCAAAGCAATGTTTCAAATCAGCCCAAGGCTCATTTTTACCAAGATGTTTTCTGCCATTGTCTTCCAACTCACTTTGTATATTTTAAAAAAGTTATTTCAGGTTTGAAAAACAGTCAGGGAGCCTGAACATGGACTCATCCAGAACCACTTCATTCATTCATTTGTTTCATTTTTTTCATGTGTTCCTCATAATCAAAGAAACAAAGAAATCTTAAGTTCATTTCTCTGAGAGATGATACCTTTCAGTTATCAGTAAATTGCATCTTAAAAGCAAGAGTTCTTCTCCTGATGATGGGAACAGGGAATAAAATACTACGTCAATTTAAAATGCTATTACCTGCCCACATTCCTGATATCTTTTTCCTTAGATGTCACTGTTCCTACATAGAAAGCATTTTTTCTTATTATTTCTCGCTATTTTCTTCATCACCCAGGGAGCTTCATTAGAGAAATAACGCAAAGGTAGGTGCATTTGACAACGAGAGAAAAATGGTGTTAGCAAGAAGCTCTGTGATGAGGCAGTTCACGATTTATCTGCTCAGCAGAGTGTCTCCGACTTGTCAGGAGGCGGGCTTGGCATCTGCTTCAGGAGCGGCATATGGCTGGTGCTAAGCGCCGTCAGTGTCTGCAGAGGTGTGCCTGTGTGTGTCTACCACAGGAAGACTGTGGATGCACGGACTGTATGTAAATCCAGCATTCTCCCACATCTCCCCAGCCTGCTGGGCCGGGGCAGGAGGGGGAAATGCAAACTGGCTCTGCAAACCCCACCCCGTAGGCAGGTTGCTCCTCCTTGTCCCTCTTCTCCTCCCCAAGGTCACAGTCCCAGAGGTAAAACTCTCTTGGTTAGCCCTCGCTTTGCTTCCCACTTTGTCTTTGTTTGGTTGGTGATGGTGGCTATTCTTGTCAACTTCTTTATCTGAGGCAGGCACAGTGAGGAAGCTAAAAATAGTAGTTTTTATAGTAGCCAGTCACAGCCTTTCAAAATATCTAAAAAACTTACTCCTGTGTCACGCAAGTCAAGGCACACGTTATAACACTTTCCCCTCACATTTTAAAGGCACATGAGATTTTTAACCTAACCCCTAAGGCATGCGAACATTCTCTCAAAGTATTATATTTGAAAACTACTTACTGTCATCATGCCATCCAAAAGGCCAGTCTCGGGCCTGGGTGGGGCCTGAAGCCTCTCCATGGACCACTTCTCAATGATGGAGGACACGTGAGGGTTGTCGATGTTAAGCAGCCGGAACCCAGTCATGTTTACGCCGCTGTACCTATAGAGTTCCAGATCTAAAGCAAATAAGTCCTGTGAAGTATTAAAAATGATAAAAGTAGAAAAGAATTAGCATTTTCAATGTTCCTTAAGCAAAAGAGAATTAATGAGTGTAGACGCAACAAATACAGTAGTCCCCTCCCCATCTTTGGTTTTGTGACCCATGGTTTTAGCTATCCAAGGTCAACATGGTTGGAAAATATTAAATAAAAAAAATTCCAGAAATAAACAATTCAAAATTTTAAATTGTCCACCCTTCTGAGTAATGTGAGAAGTCTTACACTGTCCCACTCCATTCTGCCTGCAACATGAATCCTTCCTTTGTCCAGCATTTCCACGCTCTAGATGCCACCCACCCATTAGTCACATAGGAGGTGTCTCAGATCTATTGCCATACCAAGCAGTGGTATGGCACTGCTTGTGTTCAAGGCACCCTTATTATATTTCATAACAGCTCCAAACCACAAGAGTACTGTGCTTGATTTATAAAATAAACTTTATCCTAAGTATGTATGAATAGAAAAAGCATAATATATAGAGAGTTTGGCATTATCCTAGGTTTTAGGCATCCTCTGGGGGTCTTGAAATGTACCCCTCTCGGACAAGAGGGACTACTGTAGATTAAAACAAAAATGCAGCCATATCACACCATTTCAATAAAGAAAACATCCCATGGTTTTTCATTCACATGCTGCTTAAGAAACTCTAAGGCAGTAAGCAGTTTTCATTTTCATCTGTTTTTGCAATATTGTTAGAGTTTGGATAAGCCAAGAAGAGGAATTTGGCTGTTGATAATTAGTATGTCCTTGGGCACAGGATATGACTTTCTGAAAAGCTAAGAATTTTGTTCCTAGGATATAGTCTTTGGGGAGTTGGAAATGATATTTATGTCCATTTGGCTCAATGCTTTTATTTTATAGATGAAGAAACTGAGGTTCTGGGTGGTGACGACCAGGCCAAGAATGAATCATTGCTCAGTGGCAGTACCAGTCTTCTTCATCACCTCTTGCTGCATCAGGCTGTTCTGGGTCTTGCCACAGAGGTGAAATTTGAAAGTTGCATATGCATTTGACGGGAAGATCACTTCTGCTAGAAGTAAAGCATCTCCTGGATCACTCGGAAAGAACTCATATCTCATACAATGAGGACATGAAGGATGCTTGCTGTACATGTGCTCAGAATGAGAATCACAGAGTTCTCTTCAGAGAATACACTGGAGCATATTGCACGGATGTGAGAACATCTTAACAATAGAACTCATTCCCTTTCAGAAAATGTTTCAGGAAGAAAAAAAAATAACTTGTATTTTCTATCACAGATGAGGCTGTGTGTAAACCAGAAGTTTCTAAGTTGATTCATATTTAAAACGGACATGTGATAATTTCAACTTTTTTCTTATGTAAAAAGATTAAATGCAAAAAAGTATCACATTTAAGAAGAAACCAAACTTTCAAAATAACATTTAACAACAAAAAAAAAACCCTTCCATAAAAATTTCCTAACAATGTAACTGCT